CTTGGAAGCAGCAGCAGTTAGCCTGGTGAATATGACAGCAAAGTGAAAACTGAGGAAAATTGCTTCTGATTGACAGAGCAAACAGGTAAAGAAAAAGTATCAGTCAGGTGTCATTTTCAGAGCTTTTTGTTTGTCTTAGGTAAATCACTTCCTTTGCACCTCTCTAGAGATGTTTGTGTAGAAGCAGCTAAGAGTAAGTGACAAGCAGACATGCAGACAGAGGAATCCTTATTGGCGTCAGGGAAGAGGGGGGCTGCAGTCTAATGTTATATACATATATATTCTTCCTCCATTCACTCAGGAAGAATACTTACTACTCAGTAATAAGCTTTTGCAAGGCAATCTGTATGTTATAGAAGAGTCTTGCACAAGTTTCGGGAAGCAGAGTGGTGGCTTAGGGTGCTGTAGTTATGGAAGCCAAGGGTGAAGTTTAGTGTTTTGGACAAGAAGATTTCTGTGACAAATAAGATGGCTCAGATACAGTAAGCTTCTTGCAAGATCTTGCCTAAAATTGTTTCTGTGATTGTACCAGCTGCCTTGGTCTAAAGAAATGTTTGATTCAGATCTCTTTAGCTGTAGAAAAGCATAAAAGTAGGTTTTGCATCTGAGTTTTTAATTCAGTTTTCCATTTGCTTTTCTCCACCTCCCTCTGGTAGAAGGAAAGAATGAGGGGTTTAGGCTATTTTCTGGAATAATTGTTTGATCATAGGATCTCTGTTTGTCCAGCAGTCCATCTGGGTGACTTGAGGTCCTGCTGAAGCCCTCAAGTGTGGATCTCTAAGAGCTGTAGTATTTCTGTGGTTCTGTGAAACCTAGCAGCTGACTAAAGGAAGACACATGTAGTGCCCAGCTCCGTAAGAGAGGGATTCCCTTGTCACTGTGAGGAGTAGCTGGATGATCTCAGCAGTCATAATTCTGACATGTGCTGGCATTTGCTTCCAGAAAGAGGATAAAAATGGTGGGGAGCTTGTATGGGCATGAAAGTGAAGATGAGGAGATAGGGTACCCACATCTCACTTCCCCTGCTCCAGGTGTATCTTGGTTTTCTTTCTGTTTCCTTTGCTGCCTTTTTCATTTGTTTGTTTATATTATCTGTCAAGTTTGTCATTATGTGTTCATGCACATAAAATCTTTATTAGCCATGCGTTATTCTCTATTCTCTATTTTAATTTTCCTTCCTTCCTTCTTCATTAACAAACTCTGCTGATTGCAGATGTTTCCCATTTGACAGCAGCTGAGACTAAGGTTTTCCAGCCGCACAACCAGTTGAGTCCTGGCTCTTTCCTCTGGTCACCCTGCTGTGCAGGATGGGGCCGTGCCCAGGTAGAAGCAGGGAGTGACCCTGACCTCCCAGCCAAACCTGGGGTCACAGCCCTCCTTGAGATCAATAGAACAGAAGAGAAACAGAAGCTGAGCTGTGATCTTAGGTGTGGCTATAAACAAGGGTGTTCAGGGTCCACATCCTTGTGCTTATTTTAGTCTCTTTGAAGCAACTGACCAAAGGAGAGGTGAATCACCATCAGTGGTGAGACTAAGAATGTCCTTTGTGCTCTCTGTCCCACTTGATCTGCTCTCAAAAGCCCTTGAATACGTATCTCCTTCTCACCAACTTAACCACAATAGGACCCTACTCTGAAAACATCAAAGAAAGTATTTCCTCACTAGTTCCAAGGGTTAGTGCTCTCTCCCCTGTTGTAAGTAAAAATTGGGTAAAAGGAGTTTCAAGTGCTTTGCACCAGTTTTCCCAAGTCAAAATGCTGTAGTGATACCTTCTACAAAAGGACTTAGTTTGTGCCTTGGGTTTTAATGATAGGTTTATTTCTTAAAATACACCTTGAACAGTAAGGGACCATGCAATTGTGTGGACATGTATTCATGTTATGGCTGGGTACTGTGAACATCCTTCCCTTAGGTTCATGGTGAGAGGAATGTCTGCACCAACATCTCTTCAAATCCTTCCTAACAAATCCTTCCCTAGAGAATCTTCTAAGAGATTATTCTGCCTTGGACAGGTGCAGTGAATAAATCATCTTATGGTCCAAGCTTTTTATTATCCTTTAATCTTACTACTTCTTCCAGAATATCAGTTTTAGAGACACCATTAAAGTGTTTGCACTGTCTGTGTGGGAATGGCGTAGCCTCTGTGCCCTCCTTGCTTTGCACTTCAGAAAACCTTCATGGTTTTTTGACTTTGGTTTTCAGTAGGGGTGAGAGTTTCTTCTCAGGAACTGTTGTCACCCAGCATTTGAACTTCAGTGGCTACAAAAGTGTAAACCACCACTTTTCCATGGGGGATGAATCTTTAAACAATGAGTCAGGAAACAAAACTTTGGGACACCTTTCACTAATTCCCAGTTTGTCATTTGCTGCTTGGTCTGTGTCCTGGTTACATAAATAAATAGAGGACTTTCTTGGCCAATGTCCCATAATTGTTCCAAAAGAAGGGTAGCTGCAGGGAAATTAATAGCTGAGTCCACAGTAAAAAGATGCTCAATCAGTTTGCTTGGGGTAAAGTCCTTTTGAAAAGGGACTCAGATGTTTGCACGTCTGAGGCATTTATAAACTAAGTGGTCAGGAAGGCTGGAGCCACCCATGGAGGTGAGGGCTGGGTAAGAGCCATGGTAATGGGCACTGTGGCAAGTGAGCAGAATGGTCAGATAGAGGAAGATCTTGGAGGCAAGACCAAGTAGCTTGACCTTGATAAGATGGGGAAGAGGAGGTGGCTGAGAAGAGTCTTCTTGTTCTGCTAGAGCAGACTTTTTGTTTGCTGCTTATTGCTTGTACCATGGAGGTGTGCTTTCCTTCTTCAGTTGTGTGCAGCTCTTCCCTCTTGAAAAGCTGCTTTCAGTGTCAAGCAACATCATGGTCTATTACAGTGTCATTTTCATGTTACACCAACAACGCAAAAGCAAAAGATGTGAATGTCATGTCTCATTTACTCAGTTGCAGAGTCATTCAGGGGCATCTTCTACTTGTGCTGATCATCTTTAAGCCGTAGATGGGCTGCAGTCCTGGAAATGCATCATGTATTTCTTAGCATTGCAGCCACTATAGTAGTGAAGATGGGGACAAGTCCTGAAGGATACATCAGTGAAAGCCTCTGCAAATCACAAGATCTAGTTCTACTGCTCCATATAATTAGTGATTAAGATGAGTAAAAACAAAGCAGCAATTTTCTTATTGATCCCTCAGCAAATAGTTCTATTTTCTTTTGTATTGTTTCTTCTTATTAAATAGCCTTGAATAAGAAATGTCAGTCAAATGAATTTAGATTCCTGGTGCTTTAGACAGAAATCAAAGCAGGATTGAATGAGGAAAGATAATTAGAGAGAGGAATTCCACCTCCACAGACTTCTTCCCTTGCTGGAGGAGTGCTGATTTTATCTAAATTGCCAAAGCTGTGAGCAAATGAGGGGTGATGGGCATTATAGACTGCAGACGCTGAGACAAAGCGAGGGAAGCTTCAATTAGTGCATTTTAAGGTAGAAATGAATTTCCTGGGAATAAATTATTTTACTCAAGACACACGGAGCTTCTTAGAGGCAAACTGAAAAGCTTTTTACCTGCCAGAACCAGAGTTCACATGTATCTGTCTCGTAGAAATGAGTGACCCATCACTGGCATATGAAACACATGAGGATGAATTCTTCTTTCCTTTGCATCTCTTTATTTTAATATATATAGGGAAAGGAATTCTCATTTCTGCAGATTCCCATCAATGCAACAGAAAGATTTTTTCAATACCCACATTTTCTTTATCACTAACATTAAGTGTCAGTAATCGACCCACAGTTGCTGAACAATTGGGAATTGTGTATTGAACGCACAGGTACTGAAAGGAAGTGATTTTCCTTTCAGATTCTCCTCTTATTCTCCTTTCTCAGCTCAGTTGTCATCCTTTCTTCACACTTGCACACACGTAAGACACTGTGAACCTTAAGAAACTGACCTTTACATTTTTCAGCAGATTTCCATAGCTTTTCAAAGGGTGAGAGCGTGACAATTCTGTTACTCAGAGGTGGATAGAGATTCCTGTTTGAATTGGTGGAGCTGAAATAGAACCGTTTAGCTGGGTGTTTTAATCCAGAACTCCCTGACTTCAGCAGAATTATTCAAGCTCTTAATTATTCAGCAGAATTATTCAAGCTCTTTACATATTCTGTATGAGGCAGTTGCTCACAAACCTGGCTGAAACAGGCAGAACTGGAGCCAGCACCAGATCTAATGGTTATGTTATGGGAGTGCTTACAGACCCCTGATACAGGTACTGCACAAGCACAGAATAAAATGGTTTTGCCCCTCCAAGAGCAACACTATTCTCCTCTGTTCTGAAAAGTGGGAGTGTAAGCACACTGAGAGGTTGGCAAATGGGCAGGCCACCCAGACAGCACCTTTCCAGCAGCTTGGGGTTTTCTGGCAATGGCGGTCTACATGAGATATGAGTATGGCCCATCCCTGGAAGTGTTTAAATAGGTTGGACAAGGCTTGGAACAACCCTGCTCTAGTGGAAGATGTCCCTGCCCATGGCAGGGTGTTGGAACTGGATGATCTTAAGGTCCTTTCCAACCCAAACTGTTCTGTAATTCTATCATCTGGAAAATTGCCCTGTCCTCCTGTCCTGGGATGAGCCACCACTCATGATCTTCCAAAAATCCAACTGCGCTCCCAGCCAAATATGTAAGGTAGCAACAAGTGGGTTAGAGCAGAGGGATGATCTAGTGGTTTCCACTGAGTCTTTTTGACAAAAGAACCTCATGAAAGCTAAAACACCCCACACCTGCTCTGAGAAAACAAGTATCCTGTTCGCTGGTTTGTCTGATGTTCCAGTTGCCTATTTGAGGTGTTGCTATTTTGTCCTATAGGTTAATTTGTATTACCCATGATGAATGAATGCAGTCAAGAGGTATTGAACGCTAATGTGTTTATCTTATGACAAGATAGAAATGTTGCAAACTTGTGAGCTACAGGAGGAAATAGGCTAATTTTAGATTTGTTCCTAGCCCTCGCCATGCGAATGGTGTCGCTGCGAGCCCAGCAATGAAGTTCACTGTGTTGTAGCAGACTGCGCAGTTCCCGAGTGTGTCAACCCAGTCTATGAACCAGAACAGTGTTGTCCTGTCTGCAAAAATGGTAAGAAAGTACTGTGTTGGCTTTAACAAACAGACATAAAGGAAACAATTTCTTAAAATGTTGTTACTGATGCATCACCAGGAGATTTGCTTCCATCGGCACAGGGTAGCGGTGGGGCTGTTGCTTCCCCTTGTGCCTGGGCTTCATGTACAAGTGGCAACTGTGAAAACTAAGGCTGCCCTTCCTGGCCTGTGTCTTCTCATTGAAGCCGATGGTATTGCTGACTTAAGTAAGGCATTACAGGAGTGAGTCCTGATACCAGAGATAGTCACTTCATGTCTTTGCTTTTTTTCTCATAATTAGTCTAACATGAACTCAACTATATAATTAAAAAGAGAGTTTCTGTCCTTAAATTAAGAAACCAATTATTATTACCTAAAACTAGGGGAAAGTTCACAGAAATCAATGGCAAAACTTCCATTGGGGCTGGTATCACACTATCACAGTATGTTAGAGATTGGAAGGGACCTCAAAAGATCATCTAGTCCAATCCCCCTGCCGGAGCAGGAACACCTAGATAAGGTTACACAGGAACGTGTCCAGGGGGCTTTTGAATGTCTCCAGAGAAGGAGATTCCACAACCTCCCTGGGCAGCCTGTTCCAGTGTTCTGTCACCCTCACTGAGAAGAAGTTTCTTCTCAAGTTTAAGTGGAACCTCTTGTGTTCCAGTTTGGACCCACTGCCCCCTGTCCTATCATTGTTTGCCACTGAGAAGAGCCTGGCTCTATCCTCGTGACGCTCCCCCTTTATATATTTATATACACTAATAAGGTCACCCCTCAGTCTCCTCTTCTCCAAACTATAGAGACCCAGCTCCCTCAGTCTTTCCTCATAAGGGAGATGCTCCACTCCCTTAATCATCTTAGTTGCCCTAGTAAGACACCCACCAAGCCTGTAACATTGGTAGTTGTGTGCTGGAGTCTGTGTAGTGTTGGCCCCCATTGCCCTGCTGAAAAGATTTAATGAATTGGAGTCTGCTATAGCCATACTTTCAAGAAAGGCTTTGGGATGACTGAAAGTGCCTCTTCAAAAAAGAAATCTGTTTCCAAGAAGGTCTCCCCAGTCTTGTACCACAGCCTCTATGCACATATGTCTCTGGAAAAAACACCTTTCTAGTGCACATATGAAGAGAGATTGAAAGATGAGCTAGCATCACATAAACATCTTCATGGCTTTCTTGACATATAAGAAACAGCTACTTAGTTTCATCTTCTTGTGATAGGAATTCACTGTCCATATATATTTCCTCTTCCATACATCACCACTGCTGGATAAGAGTAATGGTTGCTTTTGGATCTAAATGAAAATGTTTACAAAGAAATAACATTTTCAACACATTTCCTGCTCTTTAAGATGGAGAAAAAGCAAGGAGTTGGAAATGCAAACTATTTTTACTAAAGGAATTGGCATAAATAATTCTGGTCTGGAAAATTGTACCCAAAATACTACTTGTAACCCTGAGGTTTATATTAAACAATTATTTTTACTCAAAAGTATTTGAAAAGGTTTTCATTTAGAGCTTTATGTTTCTGTTGAAAAGTAGAAAATGTTCACAGGAAATGTCATTGGGTTGTAGTTGTTGATGAACTTAAAAGAAAAGCTGTATTAACCAGCTCTGTCCACCACCTTCATGTATGTCCTGCTGTGCTTCGGTGTGAGGTTTCTCATCGCACTCAGCAAGATTGATGTCTTGGGTTGATGACTGGAAGGGGTAACAGTGGCCATTGCCGTGCCTGTCACCACAGCTCAGATTCATTTACACCCAAACAAATGCCTTTTGTGTGTGTTTGGCCTCTGTGTTCCCATCAAGTACAGGATGCCATGCTGAATGCCCCTCATTTACAGTGGCAGCATTTGTCGATTCCTTCCCATCTGGTTTGCGTCACATGAATCCAGCCTGTGAGCAGGCTTCCCAGGAGAGCTTACTCAAAGGTGGCTTCACACAGGTCCAGGAGCTGCTGGATTTCCCTACCAACACCCTGACCAGATAACCAGACTCCCCCACTTTGGGGGGGTTGGTGGCTTTCTCTGTTGTAGTCCCCAACATATCTGGTGACCAGGAAAGGGCATCATCTTTCTCCTAAAAACAATCAGAGCACCCAGGTAACAAGGAGGAAAGGGAAGGAAGCAGCTTCTACTGATGGGAACGAGGATGGGAGGGCAGAAAGAAAATCAGACACCTGGTGAAGAGGCTCCAGGGCACAGTGTAGTGATTGGAACTAGAAGCCAGGACACTTCCTCCATGGTTTTGCTGAATTTCTCCACTCCTGTCTTTGCTCATCTGTTGGAGGTATAGATATAAAATTGTCTGAAAACTACTTTAGGCAGGGAAGTGTTTCTCACCATCCTCTTAAGAACAGCCTGTATGCCTTGGGGATCCTGATCTCTGGGGCCAGGGAGACCAGGGCTTGCAGCAACAGCGCCAACAGCTCCCTTCATCCATCCAGCAGTGATGGATGAAGGGGAGAGGCAGTGCAGTGATGTGGCTGTTTCTTGGGGGGTGCTGTGGAGGAGAGCTGAACGCTTTCTGCCGTCCCATCCTAGCTGTAGGTATGAAAACCCCCATCTGGTAGGAATTCCTGCTCCTCCTGCACGGCTGGGGCTGACTGGCCAATGCTTGTAGTTTTGGCATTATCCTTTACAAATGAAATTAAATCATTCACACAATGTTAGAAGTCAGTAGGCACCAACATAGTCTCCATTGTCACGGGGAATCTAATGGACAGATTTTGTTACTGCTCTTGGATGTGTCTCCAAGTGTGGTGCACACCCTTTGCCTCCCTCTAACATTTTGGGAACTTCATGTGAAAGAGTAGCAGATGTTGCTATGTCTCTCACCCCTCTGAATCCCTCTGACACTACCTAATGAATGAGGATCGCAGTGCTTTAAGCTGTCTAGTCATCTTGAGACCAGAATGTTATCTTTCGGCTCTCTGCTGCAGCCAGCCAATTAAAGCTCAGTCTCACAAATGCATGAAGATAACAAAAGCTGACAGACCCACTTAAATGACTGAAAATCCTTTTTTTTTTTTTTTTTTTATTTATTTGTTTTTTTCCTTCAGTCCAGTAGCTTTTGCTTTCTCCATAAGTGGTGAAGGCAGTTATAGTGCCATGTTTCAGTGTGATGAAAAGATTTTAGCTTCATCTCAGTCCCTGCGGTCATCATTTTAGACTGGCAAACAGGAGAGCTCAAGGGATACAACTTCTGGGTGGATGGGGAAGTTAATCCCTAGAACAACGTGTAGTGCAAATCCTCATTCCAAAAGCTGCTCCTTAAAATTTTGGTAAAGATCCTCATTTTAGGTTAAAACACTACCCTTCGTTTGCTGCACTCTACTAGCAGCATAGCTTACCTTCTTGTTTAGCTTTTGCTGCCATTAATGGAAGAATAATTTCCTCTCGATACATTCAGATAGATTTTTCACACCTTTCTTAATTATGTCTTGCAAGGGGAAAAGTGCTGTGAATCAGTGAGCACTGGCACAGGGTGCCCAGAGAAGCTGTGGCTGCCCATCCCTGGCAGTGTTCAAGGCCAGGTTGAACACAGGGGCTTGGAGCAACCTGCTCTAGTAGAAGGTGTCCCTGCCCATGGCAGGGGGTTGGAACTTGATAATCTTCAGGTCCTTTCCAACCCTAACTATTTTATGATGCTATGATAATGCAAAAATCAGTTGAATCTAACATACCTGACCTGAAGATACAGAAAAAGCCAATACCAATTTCCCTTCCCCTACCATCATTTTAAGAGCAGTCTGAACAAGTGGCTTTGGAGATTTATTCCTTACTGTCAAAAGAAATGGAAGTGTTATCTTGTGCTTCACTAAATGCTGTAGCTCATGCAAAGCTGGCTCTGCTTTCAAGGAGTACTGCATTACATGTGGAACAGGCACTGGGAAGCTAAAATCGGGGGGTGAAGGAGAGAGACGATGTTTTCTTCTCCCATGTCCCATTGTTCAGTTTGTCAGAGTAGATTTTAAGGTCGATGGTTCCAGATGATATGCAGTGTTTCTATCATGGAGGTGAAAGGTCACTGGATTTCACTTTTCCTGGTAGTGGCAGACTGCAGAATTATGGCCCCGAGTTGTTATTTCAAGTCATTGTGACTTCTCAAGACACGAGTGTGTCAGCTATTGTTAACTCTCTCCTCTGCGGGATCTAAAATTTGCCTGTCATTGTCAAAATCAAGCTCAGGGCTGCCACCATCTGTGCTATCCCTCCTGCCCCCAGGTTCTCCTGCAGTTCAGTGAGAACATCCATCCACTCTACTAACACCAAAGCCTGTCAGAGCAAAAATCCTCCATGTAGTCCCCATGCTTCTGGGCCCAGGGCTGCAGTGGTGTTAATCATACCTCCCCTCGGTCTTCTCACCTGACCCTGAACTCTTCATTTCCGAACCTCTGCTTTTCCCTCCCCATAAATCCATCAGCTGCTGAGGGCTGAGCCTTGTTATTGGTGGGACATGTGGTACTTAAAGCCTATCCTTACACATCACTGCAGGGTTGTTCTTTACATTTCCTTCAACCCTTTGGGCATGGTCTGGTAAGGATGCAGGGATGGGAGGGGATCCCCAGTGTATCATCATTCGCATCACTTAATCTGGTTTAAATGGGTTCCTCTCTTTGCCAACTGCAAACAGCTCTCACCTGCTGCTCTGCACAAAGGGAGAAATCCATTGTGTTTCACCTTCCCCAGTGCTATTTGTTCAGAGCCAAAGAGTGCTCAACATGCCCTTTCTGAGGGGGTGAGTAGATGTGCTCCAGCAGGGAGTCCCCAGTTGGTCTTGGAGGTCCCTGCTCTGATGCTGTGCTGACTTAGTGACACACTGATCTTTGCCCACTGCTCTTAGAGGAGTTCAGTTTCATGCTGCTTGTTCATCCATCCATTGTTTGCTGCTCCTTGAAAGAAAAACCAGATGCAATTTCAAATTAGAGGCCTCACAGCTGCTTGGAGAAAGGCTGGAGGTAAGTGGACACAAGAGAAGGGCAGCACAGGGCTCTCAGCAACCCATGTTCTCCTGATTTTATAAAGTGCTCCTTCAGAATCATACCCAAAAATAAGCTCAACGTTAGCAAAAATTTGCCATCATGGGAGATTTTATGGCACAGCTGTGTCAGGGAAATGAATTTAAAAATTCTAACAAGTGCCACAATAGAATTGTTAACTTCTCCTCTCCAAAGTGTGAAATTCTTTTCAGAGCATTTCAAAGGCGCCTTCACCCATTTACACATACATTAACACAGTTGCTAAAATAGACTTTGCCGTGGCACTTCCATTTTCTTGAGGGATGAAGAGAATAAGCATTATAAATTTCTGTTTGGGGATCTGGTTTTGCTTCTAATTTAATTTTTGTTGCCACTGATCGTCAACAAAAGAATCCTTTACCCAACAAGAAAGATAAAAGCGAACGTGTCAACAATGAAATACTTCCTGGCAAGTGTGCTTACTCACGTTAGCATGGGCTTCTGGAGACATTTGTGATGAAATACTGGGCAGCAGGAAGACGTTTCGTAGATATTCTGTCACTGAGTCTTTAATTAAAGTTCTAAATTATCACAATTGATACAGATTTCAAACTAGACTCTGATCTTACCCTCCACACAGAGGTAAAAGTTCCCTTTGACCTTCAGCAGATTTTACCTTGGTAAAACAGCATGTATGCAGACAAAGCTCTTATGGGTATTTAATTTAATATGCTATAAATATTAATAATTCCATACAAATGTCTTCATCTTTGAGGCCATAAACACAAAAGTGAATAAATATTAATGTATTTCCATGCATAGAAAGCCACATTTTACCTGAGCTTCTCCCTTAATTTATTGAGAATCCAAACTTGCTGCTCATTATTTCTCTGTTTGAGTTAATTTGCAATAAGCATTCTGTACCCCAGCCTATTCCTTCCATAACAGTATGTTTTGCTCAGAAAACCCCCAGGGATTTTCCCAGCCTGTCAATGCCGGGGGCAGCGTTTGCTTTAGCAAACAAATATATGCTACACGTGTCGCGGAGTGAATTCTGCATGCAGTGGCAAAAATGTTATACTCTGCAGAATAACACCCAGGGGCTGACCTTCAAGGCTGCCTTTTCCTAGCAGAAGGGTATGTAGAAATGCCTTTCTTCTAGTGGGAGATCATTGGAATCTCCCAAATGTTAAAGGGGTGTCCCTTTGGAAGAGCTCTGCTGTGGACAGCAGAGGGAAGTTGATGCAGTCCCGAGGTCAGGCTGTTCCCATCTTGCCCAGCCACATTCTGGGTAAAAACTGGTTCAGTAACTTCATCTCCATTCGTAAATGAAGCAAGGTTAGTACTGAATACCACTCGAGTGGGTAGTCCTCCCAGGAAAATCCAGATGCCACCAAAAGAGGTGCTGGCTATGCAGTTCATGAGCAGGGCTCTTCTTCCAAATCAGGGAGACAACCAAATCAGTTCCCTGGTATTATCTTAGGGGGTGTTTATTTTGCAACACCCTTTGGGATTTGGAGGGATACAAAGGCCATATAAATGTAAATTATTTATTGTATTTTAGGTGAAGGTAGTGGATTAAAAGTGCATGTTATTAACCAATATTGACAAAAAGAACTTTCCCACATGGTCTCTATTGTTCCAAATTATCAGTTATCTTGAAAAGTGACAAGATTTTAATACCGAATAATCCAGTGCCTGGATATTAAGTTACCTGTCCTTCATTGCATAAATAGAGCTTGTTATTTATGTGCAAGATGTGGATCACTGACTCTCCAGGTCATTGTTTTGGAAAGCATCTGCTTCTAACATGATCAGTGACAAAAAAATCAATGAAGTGTGGAAAAAATTGCTAAAAGTTTGAGGAAAAAAACAGGAAGGTTTGGGGAGAGGATGTTTTCTCGTCCATTTGATTATATACAACTGTTGCAGGATAAAGGTGACACAGAAAATGTGGCAAGAGGATGAGAGAAGACTTCATGTTCATTTATGTTTTGGAAAACAGTGGTTTGGAGCCATGGGGAAATTCCTTTAGAAAAAGCCCCAACTCAATAAAATTCCTCTTCTAATTTATTTCAGGAATTCCTGAAATGGCCAGATTTTAAGATTGCAGTTAAAACCCCTTCAGTCAAAGTCTATGCAATATGCTGATTGGATGTGCAGATGCAAGTTGAGTGTGACCAGCCAAGAAGATGTATCCCCCACACCGGACTTTGCTGGACTCCACAATCCTCTCCAAAGGTCCCAGAGACTGAAGCTGGTAGCCTAGCATAGCAGCATCACCCTTCATTCTTGGTGGATAAAGTATTCATGGCAGCCAGACAGGTTTTTGGGTACTCAGTTGACCCCACCACCCCATTCAGATCTCTGAGTGGTCACAGGAAGGACCTGCTCGTCTTCAGGCAATGCTTGCCCTGCGCATGGAGGCTGGTGGTTGTGTCATGGCTGACTCCTGATGCAGAGATGCCACCCCTAATCAGGAGTCATCTTCCAATTTTGCAGAACCTGTAGAAGCCATCTGAACACTGTGATGACAGAGCCCAGAGCAACTGGGGCCAGCTGTGAAAATCAATGGTCTTGGAAGGCTGGATGCAGAAGAAAATTCCTGAGACTACAAAGGATGCATTTTTGATGGTTTGACAGCTAGTGTTCATTGTATTTACCAGAAGGAATGTAAACTGTGATGCCCTATTAGCTCAATTAAAGGACTGATTTGATTACCAACAGAGGGGAAAGAAGGATCAATTTAAACAGTGGCAGCAGATCACGACTGAAAACAAGGTGGTATATTTGGCCAAGAAGTCACCAACCTGGCAAAATACTTCAGTACTTACTTCACTGTTCCTTGAAAAATGTCATTTCCCTGAAGCTGGTTTTCAGTGGAGCGCATTCACCTCCATCACTCTGGGCTAAGTGATTAAAGGCATGTAGATGCTGAATTAGCTGATGAGAGTTAGGTACATAAGCACCTGTCAAGATCTAGCTCCTCCATTGCTTTTGGAAACCTCAGGCAGTTGGATTTATCTGGATGCTAAAATGTCCTGCTAACTCAAAACTATGCCCTGCTCCCTGTGGACACAGTTGTTGGAAGAGTCATCTGATAATGGTGAAAAGCTTTGGAAAGGTATATAGAGGTTACACCTTCAAAACTGGTCATCCTGGTGCTGGATTGCATCGAGGAGGACTGAGTTGAATCTGCCACCCCCTGAAGTTTAGAAGAAAGAGAGACTAAAAGAGGCAAGTGAGAGGAAGAGCCTTTAGAGAACAAAAAAGACGTGAACTGAACAGTGCTTAATGTGATTAACTCCATCACACAGCTCAGTGCTCACACAGAGTAGAAGCTGCTGGACTGTGTAGCCTCAGAGTGACAGGGATGCTGCCAGGAAGAGCTCCATTCAAAGAGTGCTGTGTAGGGAGCCAGCGGGACAGCAGCCCCCTTCAACCCGACATGTCCATCTGCATGTGCACAGGTCAGCCAATGCTTCCCAAGCATTTGTGATCTCTTCCTTTGCCCAGGAAACAAGCAGAGGGTAACTCACATGTTAAACAAGGCGGAAGAAGACTCTGCCAGACAGCCAAAAGCCATATAGGAGCTGAAAGCCACTGTCCTGCTTATGTACCCCAGGCCCTAACCATGTTTCCATGCTTTCATCCCAGCAGAGTCCAAAATGAATGTCTACAGGCACCCTAAGGAGAAAGGCTTGGGAGGATTATGAAAAGTCATTTCTTGGATGAGACTTGCGCCAAAGCTCTCATTGAGCAGACACAGCTCACAGAGATGTGAGAAGCACGTTACATGGTCTCTGCATTGCTCCTTAAACTCAGAAATGTTTATGAAGAAGCATTTGCTCATCGGTGATTGTTTCTCCTTGGGAAAAATGTTGCTGAAATTTGTGTGCACAAGCCTATGGCAGGGGTAGTTGAAGATCCACTACAATCAGGATAGTATGTTGTAGGGGGGGGGTGGGTTTGGGGTTTCGGGGAGGGGGAAGAGTACCTAGGTTCAGGTTGGGAAACCAGGTTCCTTTTGCAGAGCACAGGCAGCCTGGTCAGGACTGAAATTAAAGCAGGAATGGGGCTGTGTTGTAACTTGAAAGACCAAAAGTGACGTTATTATCCAATTACTTTGCTGTAAGCCATTTTGCTGCAAGAGAACCTAAAGCCAAATCCTGGGTACGTGTCACTTGGTGTAACGCCGGCTGTGTTGTTTTACTGTGATTTGCTCTAGCTGAGGATCGAACCTGAAGGAGCTAATATCTGTGTGACTCACAGGCACACTGCAGGAGGCTGGGGTGTTTTGCATGGTCAGGCTTTCTAAAAGGATTAGAGATGGGTTTGCTTTTGCTGCTCTAGAAGGTTGGGATTATTAAGCCTATCTGTATGAGAAGAGTGGCAGGCTCTGTCTTCATGTATTTCGAATTTAATGAATGTTTAATGCTTCTTTTATTGGAGCCTACATATATGTAGAGGACTTGAACAAGGGGTTGACTTATGTCAAATAATTGATGTTTGAGCTGCTCCTTTTCCATGAAATGCAGACTTTACAAAGCAAAGAGACTGTAATGAAAATATGAATTAAAGATTAGAGCTAAGCAAGTCTGAGCAAATTTAGGATTAAAAAAGGCACTTAGAAGTTTTCTCCTCCCACTTCCTTTCCTTCCCTTCACATTTCTGTGTCTCTGTCCCTCGGAAGGGTCCTGTATTTCAAGCATAGCCTTCTGCCTCTCCTACACCTACGCACCTCTGCAAAGGAAATTGGTGCAGTAATCTCATTCTGGGTATTACTGTATGTTTGCACATCATCCTAGCCTGTTATGCTTGCCAACTCACCAATTAGTTCAGGTAGAGAGACTAGAAAGCATTTTTAAGATGCGTTTTTCGTCATCGCTATCCCTGATCTGCTGACAGAGTGCAGCTCCTGGGCAGAATGAAAACAAGTGCAAGTTTGGTGGAACCATTTGCCAGAGGGACTCATAGTTTGTTACATCATGTCCAGGTGAGGGTGAAAGAGTGTTCTTTATACATGGCAGCAATACTGCTGTGTGACAGTGGTTGAGCTGTGCTGCCTGAGAAGGTTCCTGTAGGACAGTCTTGAGGCTGGTACAGTGCCAAGCCTGCCAAGAGATACTGCCTGTTCCTGTTGTCCAGAGACGCTCTTCTGCTCATAATCTTCAGCATCTATTCCCTTCCATCCCCCCTTGGCCCACCCCTCTCCCTCTCCGTTAACTGTCTTCATACTCTGGCTGTCCACAAGGGCTTCGAGCTCTCAGTGCAGTCTACAAAGCTCAGCACCAGGGCATTGCTCCTACAGCATGAACCTTTTCTCACCTCACTTCCTGTAGCACAGGCTGCAAAGAACTCGGCTGGTTAGCGGGGTAATTTCTTGCTTTCTGTGTTTGTGTTTAGAAAACCCTTCTGCAACATCGATCTGAATTAATGCCTAAGACACAAGAGCTTAGGATTAGTCATCAGCAAATAAAAGCCTAGTGGAAAAGAGGATATCCTGCTGTCTTTGCTTTGGCTGATTGGGTTAGTGTGGTTCGGTTCCTTGTGCCTCTGGCTATATTGGTACAGCTAAATAAAAGAGCTGGGCAGGGAACTCACCTAGGGGACCCTGATTGTCAGCACTTTGTAGTGGGTGGCACACCTAAGTTGCAGCAGTCACCCAGTGGTGTTTTAGCACGCTTTGTGTGCTCCACTGCCCAGCTGGTCTTCATGTCTTCACCCTAACCCAGGTGCTAAGGGACCCTCACCCTGCTGGGCTGCAGGGCCACCCTCCTGCTAGCTCAAGCACAAAAAAATGCATACAAAATAGTTACATCTTAGGGTGAAGAGGGCAACTCCTCATGCGCCCTCTGGAGGACGTCTGGAGGTCCGAAGGAGGCCCAAGGAGAAGTGCCATGTGGTGAGGATGTGGCCTGATTTTGCCATGTGGCATTAGAGCCAGAGGAAAGTCTCATGCCCTGTTTCATTTTGCAGTATGGGTGTGCTCTCTGAGTCCCTCCGCAAGAACTGCTGCCACTGAACTCTTGCCCCTTATTATTTTTCCATCCAGAAGCACTGAGCCACCAGGAGACATTGTGTATTGAGACATGAGGTGCAGAGCTTACACGTGAAACAGGGATTGGGGAGGAGAGAAGGCAGGGCGAAGGGCAGTGCTGCACCCCAGGTGATACCATAGGTCATTAGCAAAGACAGTCCCATGGTCCTCTTACCTTCTGTGTCCTGAGGACATCCTAGGTTTTTGCTGGACGGAAGGAACCTGTCCTTTGAGGGTGTAAGTATGTACTGAGTGGGTCTCATTACAAAACATGGTCACTCTTAGCCACCCTGTGTCAGCATGCCTGTATTCCTTATCATTTCTTGTTGTACACAGGTTCTTGAAACTTAAAAACCTAAAAATCAGAATTCACTCATGATAGAAACTCAGAAGATCAGTCTAAAAACCCCTTTGAAAGAGTATGGAAACACAACAGACTGGCAGTCTTATTAGGGGTGCCTGGCAGTGTTCAAGGCCAGGTTGAATGGGGCTTGAAACAACCTGCTCTAGTGGAAGGTGTCCCTGCCCATGGGAGGGGGTTGGAACTGGATGATCTTTAAGGTCCCCTCCAACACAAATCACTGTGTGATTCCGTGATTCTAACATCGCCTTATCTGCAATGAGCTCAGGATGTACATGATCTAAGCGTGTACATGATTTAGCCTTATTCTTACACAAAAGATGTCAACAGCAGTTTTCATCTCCTGGGAAGATGGAAGGGCAATCAAAGCTCCCCTAAGGTATCCCAGAGCAACTGTATCCTCATGACACATATTCTGCACCATGTGAGCAGAGTTTCATATCTTGTACGTGGAAAGTTTATTCCTTTCAGGTAAACTCTAGGACATACATATTCCACTTGTACCCATTTCTGAAATTATAATTGTCCCAAGGAATTCTGTAAGCACTTTTTAGGGGGAAAAAATAGATACGGATGAGTCCCACAGCTGGTATAACACATTTTATGTCAGCTAAGCCACATTCTTCTCCCAGTTAAAAGTGTTTTGTGCCATTAGTCCTGGCAGGGAAGCTCACGTTTGTTAGAATAAATGGAGCAGGAGCTGATGCACCAAAAAGAAAAGTACTCATGTCCTGCACAACGATCTACTGAGAGAAATGGGTCTGTTTGAAGATGAGCAGCCAAAGTTCTCCCCGACCTTTCAAAACTCAGACTTTTTTCATTGCAGCCAGTTGAGAGTATTTGAAGAAGATGGGAATATGTTGGTCAGAAAATGCTGACTCACTGAAACATGCCTAAGAAATAGGCCAATTATAGCAAACTTGCTGTTTGTACATTAAAAAAGATCGGGAAAAAACCTTGGAAGGATTAAATGCCCTAGTTTAATGCTTTCAAAATGAACTCACTTAAATCTGGGAGGGAAAAGGGGGTGACATGGTTTTGGGTGTAGATCTTTAGTTTATCGTTTCAGGTAGGAAAGACAGGAAACAAAGGAGCTTTTTACTCAATGAATTATTTCAGACAACCTGCTTGGATCTTTATTAAAATCAAAAAGTGTTTTCAGCTTTGACATTTTTTCCCCATTTGAGTAAGAGAGGACTAGCAGAAATAGCTCCCCATTGTAATGGGAAACATCCTTCCTCCTTGCCAAAGTATGTGGTCAGCTCCAGGATGGGATTAATATACTCCTCTGAGGTTAGATGCCTTTGGGACCACCACCTTCTATGCCTGCTGGGAGAGGTCTGCCAGCACCCAGTGCTTCTTGGAAAAGCCTCTGCACTTTGCAGGATGAGGTCTGCAGGCTTTGCTATTTGCAAAGCTGTTTGCACTTTGGATTGCACTTTCTTGTCTGATTGAAATGGATGGGAAATGTCAGGAGGTGCGGGTGGAAGAGCCCTCGTTCAATACTGCTTCAGTATTTCTGAGTCTCATTATCTCCGGTCAGTGCATTTGCCTCGTTTCTGGCTTGTGAACCAAAATACCAGCGTGCTTTCATGCCATCCCCTCTCAGTTCTCACCGCATACCTTCAGGACTACAAAACCCAGGGAGTGAATAATCCCCCCCTCAGCTCCTTGGGCTTGCCTGTGTGCAGAGGCTGGGGAACACACTGCAGCCGACACACAGCGTGTCAGTGCCAGCTTGGTCTGCAAGTCAAAGGCTCTGATTTCACAAGGCCAAGCCAGCGCTGGGTGTTCCTTCCAGAAAAGCCTTGTTCTCCGATCTCTGACTCATCGCAGCCCCTGCTGACGTCCAGGGGACTCCTGCATGAGGATTATTCATCTGAACTGAGTCCACAGCAGCATCCCATGCGTCATCCCTTATCTCCCAGCAAGCAGAGGCCGGCAGTCGCGCCAGCACTGTGGGCACCGGCCCCTTTCCAACAGCACAGCAGTCGCAGACCTGCCCTCTGGGTTATGGATCAGGGTAGTGGCTGCCAACTATTGATGACTGAATTTAGCTTGGTTTCATTTAAGTTGCTGTGGTTGACGTGCATGAGGCTCTGATACCCTCACTGTGCTACAAGGAAAGAATCGAGAGACTCTAGTTGCTTTTCAAGCTGTGTTAGACAAAAAAGGAATGTATTACAGGAAATGTCAAATGGTAATTAATAAGGACTTGGAAAACTGTGTTTAAAAATGGAAACCTGTCTGCAATAATAACAATTATATATATATGCTATATTTTGCACTGAAATCACGTTTTTTCTTGGCTGCATTCGTGCTCTCCTAAGAGCAAATGCACTGGTCCAGTTCCTGAGACTGGTGTAAACTGGCCTGGCTGCCTTGCGCCAAGGGAAATACCCATGCTTTTTCAACAGCTGAGGATTTGCTCCCCTCTGTCATTTGTTCTAACAGCTTGACAGTGAAGTTGTTACAGCAAAAAATAGCGAGAGCCAGTTCCTGCACCCATATCAGCTGGCCTCATACCCTCCAAATCAGAGGATGCTGTTGCCATTA